GGGGGGGTCGGTTTGGAAATCCCGCGTCCCGCCCCGCCTCTCTTTGGGTCCCGCGGGTAGCGGTGTAGGAGGGATGGTGTAGGAGTTCGGGGGCCTGGCTTCCGGGTTTGTCTGTCCCAGACTCGATGGATGACCTTGAACCGAGGGCTCTTTTTCTGTGCCTCTCCTCCCCCATCTGCACAATGGGGGTTGGGTTGAAGAGAGGTCCCTGGAAGGTCGCGGGTTCCTGCGCCTTTAGGATGGGGGCGGTGCTGCCTGCTACTGGGGACGGTAACGCATTTGCTTCCCAGGCGCCATCTGCCCCTGGACTCCAGCCTAAACTCTTTCCTACCTCAGTTTCCCAGATCGGCTGGGACCTGGCCTGTCCTCCCCCGTCTGGACTCTTGAGTATTTGGGTCTTGGCAGGTGCCCGGCTCCCACCTCTTCCCGGCCCGAGCCCTGGAGACGGCTGCTCCTGGGCTGCTGAGCGGCAGCGGCAGCATGAAGGCCCCGGTAAGTGGCGGAAGGGAAGGGCTCGCGGGGGTGGGGTGGGGGGATGGGGGTGCCTCCCCGATGAGCAGCCTCTGTACCGTCTGCCATCCCACAAAGAACTGAATGAATGTCACTTGTAACCTCACCCTCTTGGACAAATAAGGCTAGACTGGCCTCAAAGCCCAGCCCTGCACTGGCTGGCTGTGTGGCCCCAGGCAAGTGATGCCCCCTCTTTGGCTTCAGTGCCCCACTCCCATAAAATGGGGATAATAATAATCACCTTCTAGGCCATTTCCCAGGTCGCCAGGTGAGATGGCCTCTGGGAACGGGATCAGGCATGAAAGTTCAGTGATGGCTCATCCCCCTGTCTTTACTCAGAAGCCCCTCCCTGGTGGAGGTGGAAGAGAGCCCTGGGTGTTGGTGGGGAGTCAGCCCCAACTTCCTGAGCCAAGGTCTGGGGGCTCCTCATAGGCCCGGGACCAGGTGTCAGGCAGGGCCTGAGGCCCTAGGGGCTGAGTTCCCACCCCCTGCACAGCTGGCCACACAGAGGAAACTTATTTTTAGAAGCTGATGTAGCTTGTGGGCCTCTAGCAGGATGTGCCTGGGGTGGGAGTTGCTTTCCCCTTTGTGACTGTGAGAGGGCAAGATGCTAGGTGATCTCTGAGGGGCTTCTTAAGGACCTGTGCCTTGGGCAGGCTCAGGAGAATCGTGGAGCCCAGAGAGGTGTAGATGATGACCGAGGTGTTGCCAGCACATGGCACCCAACCCGGTGCCCTGTCCCCTACCAGCTAGCCCCACCACCTCACAGGGTTGGTGAAGACATTCTCTAAGTTGGCTGACCGGGCCAGCTGCATTCCTGGAGGGCTTCCTGGTGCAAGCAGCCTTTGGCACATGGTTTCTGGGGGCAGGGGCCTCTGGGCAGCAGCTTTTAAATTATTGAAACCATTTATTGAATGACACTTTCCTCAACTGTCTACCACCATCCTTCTTTCTCACCCAGATGGCTGACCCAGATCAGGATCATCAGCTAAGGGAACAAAACAGAGTAGGTTAGGGGGTGGGTTAGAGGTTGAGGGCCCCCGTGGGCAGCCTCTAGCCGGGGGCTGAGGGAGCTGGGAGCTCTTTGAATGTGCGTCTCTCCTGACCTGATGTGTACTGTACTTCACAGTGTGCTGAGTACTTTCATTGCTGTGAAGGATTGAATTGTATCCCCTGAAAATACATGTGGTCAATTGTAACCTCTCTGCCTGAGTTTGTAATCCATTTGGGATTGGATTGTCTTTGTTATGTGAGTGAGGCAGAATAAGTGTAGGGTGTGTCTTGAATCAATCTCTTGAGATATAAAAGAGATTAAACAAGTAATGGAAAGAAGCAGAGATGGGGGAAGAAAGATGCCAAGCCACAAGATCTCTAAGGAACCAAGAAACCAGCTGAAGAGTTAGGAACCTTCCTCCAGAGCCAACACAGAGAGAAAACCTTTCCCTAGAGCTGGCAACCTGAACTTGGACTTCTAGCCTCCTAAACTGGGAGAGAATAATTTTGTTTGTTAAAGCCACCTGTTATGTTTCTGTTACAGCGGCACTAGAGGACTAAGACAGCCATGATTCCCACAATCAGTCTGCACTGTGGTAATTATGCCCTCAGTTAGTGAAGGAGGAAACAGGCTCAGAGAGGTTGAGAGTCACACTCAAGGCTGCACAGCACATCCAGGCTTCGGGTCGAGAGTATGGGCTTTGCAGCCTGGAGCTGAGGCTCCACGCTGCCGCCGCTTCCTCACTCTGTGGCCTTGAACCACATACCTCACCTCAAGTTCATGTTCTTATCCAGAATACAGAGATAATGATACAGCTGATCTCTAGGGCCTCATGTACTGGGAGCCTGGCAGCCCAGAGTACCAAACCAGAAAAACCAAACTCACTGCCATCGAATCGATTCCAACTCAAAGTGACCTCCATTGGGTTTCCAAGGCTGTAAATCTTTACAGAAGTAGATAGCCCCATCTTCCTTCCATGGAGCAGCTGGTGGGTTTGAACCATTGACCTTCTGGTTAGCAGCTAGATGCCTTATCCGCTATGCCACCAGCTCAGAGTAAGGCCTGGAGAATAGAAGCAGTGGATTCTGCTGATATCTAGGAGCTGCTGAGCTGTGGTCTGGACCCATGAGGCTGGGGTGAAACCCACTGCCGCCATTTCTAGGATCCCCAGGGAGCCTCTTCTACCCGTGCGTCCTCCCTATGACCTTTCTTACCCCCAGGGTCGGCTCCTGCTTATTGTCCTGTGCTCCTTGGTCTTCTCTGCTGTCTACATCCTGATGTGTGGTTGGGCCTGCCTGCCCCTGTGCCTGGCCACATGCTTGGAGCCCCGCCTCTCTGCCGGCTCCAGGCCCACAGTCCCAGGACCTCTGCACTTCAGTGGATATAGCAGTGTGCCAGATGGAAAGGTGAGAGCCAGGCAACACATCGGGGGGCCAGCCCCAGCCAACAACGTTCTTCCTTCTCCAGCTCTGAAGGACTGTGAGAGCTGGCCCTGTGCCAGACAGACCCAGATCCTTGGCTCACCAGCTCTGTGACTTTGACCATTACTTCACCTCTCTGAGCCTAAATTCTTTAACTAATGTTACCTGGCTGCTCAGAGGTGGGGCCTGGGGATAAAAGAAGTCAGCCAGCCTAGCTGCCTGCTTGGAGCTCTGGATCCAGTGGGGGAGACAGACAGTCATAGCATGATGTGATATGTAAGTTTTTCACATGTTTAGATTTCTCTCTCTACACTCGTAATCCATGCATTCAACAGGCACATAGGTGGTATCTGTGATATGTCAGGCCTTGTGCTGAAAGCTGCTGGGGATAGAGAGATGACATAGATAAAAGCCACATTCAACCCCAGAGCCCAGAGATACTGGCTATAGGAACGACGAGTCAGTTATGGCCTCTGCCCCATGGCGCCCACCTCCCCACACTTGCTCTGCCCAGCCTGGTGGGGAGCACATTACCCCTTCATGCTGACTTCAGCAGCCTGTCACAAATGGACACACAGTACAGAAAGCTCCCAGTCCGAGTTTGATGGCTCAGAGGTAGGTGGTCTCAGGGCTCCAGGCCTGGAGGATATGTACTCCGGGTCTTTATCCCTGTGTCTCTCAGTTGTCTCCCCATTTGTAAAAGAATTACTACAGTTCCCACCTCTATAGGGCTTCTGTGACAGTCCAACTGGGTCATTCTCATATAGTATTCAGACCAGGTGCCATATAAATGATCGATGAAGAAACTGACCAGTGGGGTGGGGAAGGTGCAAGCTCAAATGCCCACAGGATTGGTCAGGTGGGGTGACTGTGTCTGGGTGGGCTGAGTGGAACCTGTCCCATCCACCAGTCCCATCCATCCCACAGAACAGTTGATGTTCATCTCAGACACTGAGGGCCTCATAGGAACAAGGGCCTGGGGTGATCATATTGTCCTTTTTTTTTTCTTAAGAGAAGCCAGAAATCCAGGTTTGGAATGTCAGGATCAATTTTTGTAGGTTGCAACTAATTAAGAAATGAAAAGGCCTCATAGGGTACAAACAGAACACCTCTTGGGGGCTGATGGTGACCCTTGTTTGTCAGGACAGGCCCAGACTGAAGACAGAGTGAAGAAAGTCTTATTCTTTTTTTTTAAATTTTTATTGTGATTTGGGTGAAAGTTTACAGAACATTTTCATTCTCTGTACAGTAGTTCATACTCATTTTGTTTCATGACATTGATTGCAATTCCCCACAGTGTAACAGTTCTCTTACCACTTCCTCCCTTTAGTTACCTCTTCCCTGTATCCTTCTTTCCTATGTATTCCTGCCCCCCAAGCTATCTCCCTGTGCAAACACTGCCTTTCTGTTCTCCCATTGATCACTCCTGCCTGTCTGTTGTTTGGCTGGAAGCCACAGGAGTGAGTTCAGTTCCAGACCTGAAGGGTAACTAGGGGACTCACCAGGCTCTATCAGACCAGCAAACCTGGTTTTTTTTTTTTTTTTTTTTTCCCCTATGATTCTGAGTTTTGTTTCACATTGTTCTCCTGCTCTATCCAGGATCTCCTGCACCGATACCCCTCAGAATGGTTGACAGTGGTAGACGAGGACCATCTAGTTCTTCTGGTCTCCCTGTCATATAGGCTGAGGATCACATGGTTTACCAGTGCCTTGGACTAATTGTTTCCATGCGCCTTTGGTTTTCTTCAAAATGAGGAGGTCTTATTCTTTATTATTGAGGTGCAGAGACTGGGCCTGTGTTGTTAGGTGGTGTTGAGTTGACTCTGACTCATAGTGACCCTGAGTGATAGAGTGGAATTGCCGATAGGGTTTCTAGGCTGTAGTCTATATGAGAGCAGATTGCTGGGTCCTTTGCCCTCTGGAGCCACTGGATGGGTCCAAACCACTAACCTTCCACTTAGCAGCTGAACGCATAACCATTGTGCTAGCAGGGCCTGTTGTTGTTGTTAGGTGTCTTTGAGTTAGCTCTGACTCATAGTGACCTTATGTACAACAGAACGAAACACTGCGCGGTCCTGCACCAGCCTTACAAGGGCCTGTGGGTCCTTAAATTAATATTATGTCAGATATAAAATGTCCTAGAATGGGACATGACATTGTATCCTTTATTGACTGAATTGATGTCCCCACATCCTTTATGGGGCCTCCTTAAACCCACATTCCCCCATGAAGATGTGAGATGGGGGGCAAGTTTTTCTCTTAGAGCCCTGACTGCTCACCCCTAATGGATATTTGAGGCTCATTGGCTCAACTTCTGCCTCTTGTGGGGATAATGAGAGGGGATGGGGGCCCTCACTGTGCCCTGAGTCTGTGTTTATAACTTTCCATTTTAAACTTAATCCTTACAACCTGATCGAGGACATACTGGTTTCATACCCATTTTACAGATAAGGCAATTGAGGCTCAGGAAGGCAAAATGACTTGCCCCAGGCCACACAGCTTGGAAAAGACAGAGCCAGGATTAATGCTCAGAACTAGAGGTTCCCAACCCTGTTGTGAGCATTGAAGACCGTGCTTTGCTTACAAACTGAGTACAAAGTGGGTGGGCTTGGGACAAGGAAGTAGTGACCTATGAATTGTTCTGAAGAGCTAATGTTCATGTTTACTTAATAAATTCTTGTATGACATCCAGTCTATGCTAGGCACTGTTCTAAGTGCTTTATAAATATTTGCTCATATGACCTTCATAAGGAACCCATGCCATAAGTACTGTTAGGGCCTCAGTGTCTACTCCAAGAGACAGCCACAGGGACAAGGGCAAGGAACATGGCTGGTGAGGAATACAGGCTCCAAGTATAGGATCTTAGCTTGATGTCAGTGTGAGCTTGGGAAGGTCACTCCTCGTGCCCAGCCTATGTTTTCTCATCTGTAAAATGGGTTGATGACAATACTTAGAGCTGATGCAAGGGCTAAGGGAGGTCAGTGGGTGGCACTGGGTGGAGGAACAGGTGGGCAGAACCTGCATGCCCATACCTCTCTCTCTCTGCCACCCCCTGTAGCCGCTGGTCCGAGAACTGTGTCGCAGCTGTGCCGTGGTGTCCAGCTCTGGCCAGATGCTGGGCTCCGGCCTGGGTGCTGAGATTGATGGAGCCGAGTGCGTGTTGCGCATGAACCAGGCGCCCACAGTGGGCTTCGAGGAGGACGTGGGCCGGCGCAGCACCCTGCGTGTGGTCTCACACACAAGCGTGCCACTGCTGCTGCGTAATTACTCTCACTACTTCCAGCAGTCACGTGACACGCTCTATGTGGTGTGGGGCCAAGGCAGGCATATGGACCGGGCGCTTGGTGGGCGCACCTACCGCACGCTGCTACAGCTCACCCAGATGTACCCGGGCCTGCAGGTGTACACCTTTACCGAGCGCATGATGGCATATTGCGACCAGGTCTTCCAGGACGAGACGGGCAAGAACCGGTGAGTGTGGGATGGCTAGGACCCAGCCTTCTCCAGGGGTCTCTTGTGTATCGAGGGTCTGGGACTAGGGGGACAACAGTGATGGAAGTAATGTGGTCTTGTCCTCTAATGGTGAGCAGGAGGCAGAGCGATGATCATTCATAGACTTACACATAGATGTAGACTCCAAAATGGTGGCAAGGGGCTCACATTTAGCCTGTGAGCACTGGATGGGACGGAACTGGTCAGCCTGGGGCCGCCGTCGGAGAGCACTTCCCTCGGGAAGGGATGCTCTGAGACGTGAACTGATCGCTAAAGTCCCTTCCAGATCATCTAAGTATCACAGCAATAGCAGCCTTCTTTGTAATGCAAGCAGTAGGTTAAGCACACTGCACACAAGATTTCACACCCTGGAGAACACTCATAACTCCTACCGTCCCCTCCTCCGCACACCTGCTCCTCCCTCGGCCTCCTTACCTCAGGAAATAGATCTTGTCAGTCTCTAACTTTTCAGCCAAAAACAGCCTTTGCCCCTAACTCTGCTTGTTCCATCACCTGCCACTATGGTCATCCTGCTCACTATTGAGTCTCTCTCCAGGTCCTTGCAGTAGTCCCCTTGCTGGTCTCCCTGCTGTCACTCTTGTCCCTGCAGTCTGAGCTCCTCCAGCTGCCCCAGTGTATTCCATCCCATCAGTCAGCTGTCCTCAAACCTACAGCACCTTCTCATTACACTGTCCCCCTCCTCTGGCCTTCAAGCCCTGCATGATCTGGCCCCTGCCTGGCCCTGGGACTTCATCTCCTCTTCTCTCACTTGAGGCCTCTGAGCTTCTTCCGATGACCACACTTGTCCCCACCTGTGGGCCTTTGCACATGCCATTCCCTCCACTTCAGCTGTTCTTCTCCCCGCCCCATATTTCCATGGCTGCTTCCTTGCCATTCAGGTCTGGATGGAATGTCACCTCCTCAGAGAAGCCCTCCCTGACTAGATGGCTGAAATAGCTTCCTCCTGCCTGATATTTTTTATCCCATTACCTTGTTTCCCTGTCTTCCCAGCTATTGTCATCCTCCAACATTGCCTTGCTGATACATTTATCTCTCAGCTGTGCCTGCACCAGGTGTGGCAGGTTCAGGGCCAATGCAGCTGGTTGGTGCCAGTTTGTTTGAATGAATGAGCCACCCCATGAAAACAAAAAAACAAAACAAAACTCACTGCCGTCAAGTTGGATCTGACTCATAGCAACCCCTCCTTGGGTTTCTGAAGCTGTATCTCTACACAAGTAGATTGCCCAATCTTCCTTCTAAGGGTGGCTGGTGGGTTTGAACCTTCAGCCTTCTGGTTAGCAGTCAAATGCCTTAGGCACTGTGCCACCAGAGCTCCCATGAATGGGACCTATAATTATCCCCACTTCACAGATGGTCTCTGAGGCTCAGAGAGGTTAATGGTTGCATCCAGATACCCACTGTGGTGCTCTGCTGCCTCCTGCTATCACCCTAGTGGTCCCTTTGATGTGAAGAGGGTGTGGCCAAGGCCCCCAAGCCATCATCCTAGGGCTTTGCTCAAAGCATAGCTTGGCTTAAGCCCTGCTTGGATGGGGAGGAGTTGAACAGACTTTGGTTCGTGTCCAGCTTCATCTCTTATCTGCTGATGGCCTTGGGCTGGCTCTGCCTTCTCCCAGCTTCCCCCAGGGTCCCCTCTGTAGATGTCAAGGTGAGTGGCCCTGGGTCTTGAGCGAGCTGCAGCCCTTTCTCTGTGCTCTTCCTCCGCGTTGTGTGAGTGGCTGACAGCGTCCCTCCTCCTGCAGGAGGCAGTCAGGCTCCTTTCTCAGCACCGGCTGGTTCACCATGATCCTCGCCTTGGAGCTGTGTGAGGAGATCGTGGTCTATGGAATGGTCAGCGACAGCTACTGCAGGTCAGGCCAGCCAGGCCAGGTGGGAGGGTTGGGTGGTGAGGACTGAGAGAGTGAAGAACTGTGTGGGCTTCATGGTGGGTGGCCAAGGGTGGGGCATGGGGCATGGGATGGTGGGAAAGAGCCCAGCCTCTGGACTAGGCTCGGATGCCAATCCCAGCTCTGCTGTGTATGGTCTTGGTCCGATCACACCTCCTGAGCCCCTATGCCCTCATATGTAAAATAAAGAACAGACCAAACCCACTCCTAGTGACCCTATAGGACAGAGTAGAGCGCCCCTTAGGGTTTCCAAGGCCGTATACGTGTATATATGTAGAATAGAGACAGGAGTAGCACCTTCCTCAGAAGGTTGCAGAAACATCTAACCAGTAACCAGTTACCATTGAGTAGATTCCAACTCATGGGTGACCCCATGTGTGTCAGGGTGGAACTGCTCCACAGGGTTTCTGGTGGCTGATTTTCCAGGACACTTCTAGTCCTTCTGAGGTGCCTCTGGGCAGGACTCCACTTCAAACCTTCCGGTTAGCCGCCGAGCACCTTAAGCTGTTTATACCATCCAAGGACTCCTTGAAACATTTATCAGATGATGAATAATAACACCACAGCACCCACTGGGACCAATATGTGTATCTATTAAGGATTACATAAATTATTCCTTTAATATTACTTCTTTTTAATATTTACCTTTATTTAGTGTTTATACTAAGTATTGGGAGATCTGGTAGCACAGTGCCTAAGGCACTTGACTGCTAACCAGAAGGCTGGCGGTTCAAACCCACCAGTCACTCCTCGGAAGGAAGGTTGGGCAATCCTACTTCCGTAGTGATTGTTGTTGTTGTTGTTATGTGCCGTCGAGTCAAACACGACTCATAGCGACCCCTCCTTGGGTTTCCGAGGCAGTATCACTACGGAAGTAGGATTGCCCAACCTTCCTTCCGAGGAGTGGCTGGTGGATTTGAACCGCCAGCTGTCTGGTTAGCAGGCAAGTGTCTTAGCCACTATGCTACCAGAGCTCCTTAGTGATACTGCCTTGGAAACCCTAGGAGGGGTTGCTTGCTATGAGTTGGGGCCGACTCGATGGCAAATAACAACAACAACAACATACTAAGTATTATTAAATTTAGTCTAATTTTTAAAATATCATCATACTTAAGATTAGCTCAAATTATGATCTTGTAATATTATTATAATTCAATATTGATATAACTAACATGTTCAGAAAAGGACCCACGTTTACATCCTGTGTTCTCTCTGGAACTTGTTGGTTGAGCTCGTGGGTGTGATGGCAGGAGCCTGTGTCCCCTGCATGGTGCTGGCCAAAGTGTTGTCATGCATAATGCTAATGCGAAGGTGGGTGTACAGGGCTGGCCACTCTGTGCCCAGGGAACGAAGGGTTCCCTCACCAGCAGGGTGCTTTTCAGTCCTCATTGTGTTGACCTGGAAGATGGCTATCACTAGCTCCGTTTTACAGATGGACTGTTGAGTCTCACAGGGGGATCATCTCCCCAGAGGCATCCAGCAGGAGGCAGAACTGAGGCTTGACCTCCGGCCTTTTGGGTCTGTAGGCTGCTTGCTCCTCCCCTGTCTTTTCTGGCCTCACCCAGGAGCGTTGGGCTCTGTGGGCCTGGAGTACCTGTTGAGGGCTGGTTGTGGTGGGAGGCAGGCAGCTGCTGGTGCCCGCCTCCCCCAGCCCTGTTCTCACTCTGCAGGGAGGAGCGCCACCCCTCGGTGCCTTACCACTACTTCGAGAAGGGACGGTTGGACGAGTGTCAGATGTACCTGGCGCATGAGCGGGCTCCCCGCAGCGCCCACCGCTTCATCACCGAGAAGGCTGTCTTCTCCCGCTGGGCCAAGAAGAGGCCCATCGTGTTCGCCCACCCGTCCTGGCGAGCCCAGTAGCCCTGCTGGCTGCCATGCCTTCATCAGGCCTCCATTCCTTCAATGCCACCATTCTCCACTGAAAACGGTTAATTTATGGATCCTACCTCCTGCCAGTTGCTGGGCAGACAGGGTCCCTTCTTGCCCCACACTGGGAACACTTGGAGCCACCTCCAGCTTTAGGACTTGAGGAGTTGGGGGGCGGGGCATGGCGACCTCTGCACCCTCTCCCCTCCCCCCTTCCTGAATGATCCGAATCTTCATTTTGGGGTTCATCCCACCTCCAGGTCTGTCAAGTGGCCTTTGCCCCTGGGGCTGACAGCCCCGCATTCACCAGCATCATGACCTTTGACTTTGCACCAGCCCTGGTCCTTCCTGTCCCCTCACCTGCCTTTGGTGCCACACCTTCCAGGCTGGTTGTCCTGCTGCCAGTGCTCTAGTCGAGGCAGCCAAGAGCTTGGAGTTCGTTGGGCAAAGGGGCCTTTCAAATGTGACTGCCAGGACCATCTCAGGAGTGTACGGGTAAACGTGTTTTCTGACACCTGTCTCTGTGCGGTCATGTGTCTGGGGTGGTCTCCTCCCTGCCACACAATTCCATAACCTGTTGGTTGACTTGAGAGTCTCTTCCCAGGCTGGTGGTCAGCTGGGCTGGGCATTTTTTCTTTTCAGTTTTTTTAAATAACTTATATTACTTGTTCTTGAAAATATACACAGCAGAATATACATCAGTTCAACACTTTGTATATGTACAATTCAGTGCCACAGTTACATTCTCCAAAGTGTGCAGCCATTCTCAACCTCCTTTTCCAAATTGTTCCTTCTACCCTTAACTCTTGCTCCCTGGGGTCCTATCTAATCTTTCTCAGTTGCTATTGACAGTTTGATCCCATATAGATAAGAGCACAAGGGTTGAAGCACACATTCTTTGCTAATTAAGCTCAACTGTTGTTTGGTTTAAAGGTGACTTTAGGGCCTATTTTTGATTTAAGGTTTAAAGATTGTCTCAGGGCTGTAGTTTCAGGCTTCATCTAACCCCCGTAGCTCCAGAAAGTCTCAATCCCATGAGATTTTGAAATTCTGTTCTGCATTTTCCCTCATTTGATCAGTATTCTTCTATAGAGTCTTTGATCAAAACGTTCAGTCATGTCTTCTGGGCATTATGTAATAATGTCTCCTTGGGTCAGGGAGCCTCCTGAGGGTCAGGCCCCTTGGCTGCATGTGGCCCGGGAAACACTTGGATATTTCTTTGGGAGTCCCATCTGGCCCCAAGTCCATAGTGGAAGAAAGCCTGGTGCCTGAGGGGAAGTGTCTCAGAGTGGGAAGGAAATTCCTCCATCCATGCTGCCTCCCTGGTCCGTGGGTCAAATCCCAAAGATTTTGCCAATAAATTCCCTGTTAACTCTGCACTCAGTTCCTCTGCAAGGAAGGCAGGCAGAGAGCAGCCCCAAGGAGGGGGTGGTGAGGGGGGCTGGCCAGGGGCAGGAAAGCCAGCAAACAGAGCAAGCAAGTCTTGTGTTGGGCTCCCAGGGTGAGGGTTTTCTTTTTTTTTTTTAATGAGGTGGGAGTGGCATCTTCTGACCTCTAACTTCACAAGGGGGATGGGGATCAAGATCAACAGCCCAAGGCCGGTTCCTGAGGCAAAGGTCAGACATGACTCTGCCCTCCAACCTTTTTACCAATTGTGACACCAACTGTGCCTCACAGGGCACTCTGCATCTCTACTGGGTTGGATAATTCATTGCAATGGCCACACATAGAACTCACACACAACAGTTCACAGTTACAGGGTTTATTAGGGAAGTTAACAGGCTATAATTCAAAATCAGAAATGACTTGGGATACAGTTCTTTGATCCGGACTGTCTCTTAGCAGTGCCCCAGGTACGCTTCTGACCAACGCTTAACCTTTTGGCTCACAACCCTTTGGCCTCTGCCCTGCTCAGGCAAGTATTACAAAGCTCTTTTAGCTCTGCTGATAAGTGTCTGAGGGTACGCTGCTCTGCCAGTAAGCCGTGGCCCAGCTTTTGCTCCTTGCGTTGGCAGTCTTGGCTCTACCAATGCCCACGGATACGCCACTCCAGCAAGCCTCCTGCCCATCTTTCTTGCTCCATGGGTCTGGCCCACTGTGCAGTCTTCTGCCAGTCTCCTGCCACTGCTTCTCTGCTGCCACTGCTCCTCTGCTGCCATCTCTCTCTGTCTCCTGGATCTTAGAAGGTTCCCAGCACAGGGACCCCAGGTCCAAAGGACTTTGTCACCTCTTGATAGTAGTCAGGTCCTCCCTTTCTACCCCTGGGATGGCTCATGTTAAGCCTAGTGGAATAACAAACTGACCAATCCCCACATCAGGGTTCCATACACTATTTGCATAGCAAACAAGGTGCATCTTATTTACATTATTAGCAAGCTATCCAATCCCCTTGGTGGGCCATAAGGATCTCATATTTGCATAGTCCCACCCAGCCATCTGGTGGGAGTCGACAAAGACCATGGCTAGAAAGGCCATGCCAAGCAATTCACCATGGCTCACGTTCTCTTGAGTATCCGTTTCCTCACCTGTGAAGTGGAGAACCTGACACCCACCTGCCAGCAGTTAGGGAGGGTGCGGAGCTGTCCCATGGTGGGGGGATGCGGCTCCATTTTACAGATGAGATGAAAGTCAGCAAAGTCGAAGTCGGCCATTGAGTAGCTGAGCCAGAATCAATCCCAGGTGTGTCTGAGAGTAGAGCCTGAGCACTGTGGTCCTGCGCCAGCAGGCCTGAAAGAGCTATCAAGCACCTGGATAGTAATGTCACCCTTTCCTCCTTTTCCTCCCTCCCTTCACCTGGAGACTAATGAAGGAGTAGGGTCTCAGGGCCTCAGGCTTAGCTGGGATGTAGCCCTGGGATTCTAGCTCCCAGCTGCAGGGGTCAAGGCCTGCTTCATGACTCTCTGAACTGTGCAGCTGCCCTCCAGACTCCAGAGGGCCCCACATTAGTTTAATGCTCTGCTGTGGCAAACTTGAAGTTCTTAATTTCTTAACAAGCCTCTGTATTTTCATTTTGCCCTAGGCCCTACAGATTACAGGGGGCTCTGGGTGACTCAGCTCACTCCTCTCCCATTCCAGCCCACTCAGGAGAGGCTGGTGACCTGGCACCTGGCCCACAGCACTGTTTTATGCCCTGCCTCTCCCTACCTAGGGCCAGGTGGGCCTGGAAGGCTTTTGGAGTGTGGGATGAGGGAGCCCTGAAGTGGCAGGGAGCAGGATGGTAGCCTAGCCACATCTGCTGGCCCAGAGGTGGCAGCCAGAGTCTAGGAGCAGGTGATGGGCAGAGGTATGGGTGGGATACAGCCTGAGGGTAGGCAGGGGAAACTTACAAGCTCAGAGAACTCTCAACTCAGACCTGGCCTCGTTCTCGTTCCACTTCATACCGTGGTACCTGGCCCTGTCTGGGCCTCAGTTCCCTTATCTGTAAAAGGTTTTAAAATAGTCCCTCCCTCTTGGAATTGTATGAATTCAAAGATGGCATGTGTAAAGTGCCCAGCCCCAGGGCTTAGGACATAGATGGCACTTGATGTGTTGTTAGCTATTGCCCAGTCAGCTCTCACGGCAACCCCACGGACAACAGAAACACTGCCCCGTCCTGCTCCGGCTCCACCGTTACCGACGGGCTCCAGCTCACTGCTACGGCCCCTGTGCGTCTTGAGTGCCTTCCAATGGAGGAGGCTCACCTTCCAGCACCACGTCTAACAATACACTGTTACAATCCATAGGGTTTTTCCTTTTTTTATTTTTACAGTGATTTGGGTAAAAGTTGGCAAAACAAATTCATTTTTCATGCAGCAGTTTATATACCTTTGGTTTCAGGACATTGACTGCAGTTCCCCACAATGTAACAGCTCTTCCTACTTCCTCCCTGTAGTTACCTTAGTTACCTCTTCCCTGTGTCCTTCTTTGCACTCCTGCCCCCCACCCCCCACCCTCATCTCCCAGTGCAAATACTGCTTGCCCTTCTGATCTCCCATGATTGCTTATTCTAAGGAGTGTATCTGCCTAATGTAAAAGTTCACCCTATATGCCTGTCTGTTGTTTGGCAGGAAGCCACGGGAGTGAGTTCAGTTCCAGACCTGAATGGTAACTAGGGACTACACGTAGTCTGGGGGTCTCACCGGGCTCTATCAGACCTGTCTTTCTGAGTTTGAGTTTAGTTCCACATTGTTCTCCCACTCTATCCAGGATCTCCTGCACTGATGTGATCCATTAGGTTTTCAATGGCTAACTTTTGGAAGTACATCACCATGCCTTCTCTCTAGTTTGTCTTGGTCTGGACACTGCCGAAACCTGTCCATGATGGGTGACCCTGCTAGTAGTTGAGATACTGGTAGCATAGCTTCCAGCCTCCCAACAACATGTAAACCACCACAGTATGACAAACTGCCAGGCAAGTGATGGACTTGCTAGGTAGGAGCTGTCATTTTCAATGAGATCACCCTCTCTCCACTGGCCCTACCCTGTCTGGCGGCAGATGGGCAGTGTAACAATGGCATGGTGGCAGCATGGTCAGACATCCTCATCTAACTCCACAAAGAAGGGGAGAAGAACATTATCAGCATCAATAGCCTGAGACTGATTCCTGTGAGGTGGAGGCTAGACATACCTCCTCTCTCCAACGTTTTTACCATCCTTTCCCTGGCACTCTCTACTTCTTGACTGGGTTCAATTAATTTTGCGGTGGCCATGCAGAACTCACAGACCACAAAGTTACGGAGTTTATTGGGGAAGTAACAGGTTACGATTCAGGTTCAGGAACCATCTGGGTGCAGTTCTTCCATCAGAACAGCTGCTGCTCGGCCGTGTCTGCAGGCAGGCCTCTCTCTGGCCCCTGGCCTCTGTCCCTTGCCCAGCCTCTGTTCTACTTGGGCAAGTGTTACAAAGGTCTTTAAGTCTGCCAGTAAGTGCCCAGGGGCACCCCGCTTCGCCAGGAAGCCTCCTGCCCAAAGGCTCTTAGCACTCTCGCTCTGTAGGTTGGCACACCCACTGCAATGTCTTGCTCTGTGGCCCAGGAAGCCCATTGTGCCATCTCTACGGGTCTCCTGATTCTGCAG